CAATGGTATGTGCGTTCGCTTCCGCTTTTATACCCGCATTGATAGGCGGGACGCGGAATGCAATTCCCGCATGCCAATATTTATTGGCTCGTTTTAATTCACTCGAAGGCAATTGGTCTCCCTAGCGTGATCCCAATTTGTTGGAAACTCCTCCGACGAGACGTCTCCGTTCCCCACTCAGGGAACGAGGGTTACCATACGTAACCGAGACGTTTTCGTGCGCATTGCCTCCTATACTCTTACGTGATGCAAAATGTCATTCCATTTGTAGGGAAATCGATGAATTGAAGAATTAAGCTCCTGAAGATTTATTTATAAGCATATTAGCCGCGGTTCCACTGTCGGGCCAGTGCGAGCCAGGGCTTTAAACGGGCCATGCCGGGCTAAAAGCCCCGGACCTGTAGCACCTAGAACAAAACACTGCGTTTCAACTGTCGGGTCAGAAGCTCCACAGCGCTTCACTAAAACTCGCCCGTAACAAGCCTCTCTGGAACAACGTCACACAAACCCATAATTTCATCAACAAATGGAAGTTTTATCAGAAAACTAATCAGAAAGAAATGACTGGAAACAGCATTATCACAAAACAAACATGATAAAATCGACCTATAGCTGGCATTTTTGTTATTTACTTAAATATTTCAAACCCAAAAATCAATGTTTTACCACAGGTACCAAAAGTGATAAATTTGTGTCAAAAATTGCACATTAGTCACACAGAAATTAAGTGGCTTACCATTAGGTCTATTCAGAGCCGGCCCTCGCACTATGCGGAGTCACCTGTGCTTGACGATTATTGACACAAATGTCATGCAATAATGATACATTATAAATTAATACAGTGAGGTTATGTACTAATACAAAATAAATACTTAATAAAAAATAGATACTTAAATAAAAAAGTTTTAACTTTTACTTTACTCTTTTACTAACTCTTTGAAACTTCTTAAAACAAACGGTCTCAAAACATATCAAATAAATTATTTGCTAAAATGATGACAAAACTGAGATATCAGAAACATAATTTGCTAAAATAATGACAAAACTGAGAAATCAGAAACATAATAAAAGCAAGGGTTCAACAATGGCAATTATTATTGAAATCTGTAAAAATATTATTTTTTCTCCACTGACTCAATACAGTGGAACACTCCTCAAGATCTTTTTTATTATTATTATTGTAACAGACTTTGTTGGATGCTCGTTGTATATGTGTGTATGCAATGTATTTTTCCCCTCGGGGCTTGCAGTAGATAGGAATGGGTCATGCGCACTTGAAACTGGTCACGCGCACTTGATACTGGAGTTTGTGATCTGATGTGTGGTATAATAAAGTGGAGAAGAGTTCAAACTGCTATGTTTATTATTTATTCAAACTGCTACCCTTACACCTAGAAGAAAAAAAAAACTCGATTGGGGGCCCCCTGGTGGCCCCAAGCAGCCGCTTAGTTCGCTTATGCCTCGGGCCGGCTCTGGGTCTATTTCACAAAAGAAAGAGGACAGACTTACTTATTCAGACCTGTTTCTGTTTGTTTGGTACACTGTAAAAAAAAACCCCGTAAAAAAACGGTAATTTTCTGGCAGCAGGGGCGCCAGAAAATGTCTGTTAAAAAACGGAAAAATACTGTCAGGAAAAAAACTGTAAAAAAACTGTAAAAAAATGGTAATTTCTTATCCTATAATTATGGTTTATTACTGTTATTCTACACAAAATTATCTTTTATTATCTGATATAATGTTAATTTACTGACCTATTGAAGTATTAATTTCGGTTTTGTACCATTGTAATACACTGACAACCAACAACCACAGTGGTGATGAGTCACATGATCATTCAAAGCTCATCACAAGCAGCTCTTCCACAAGAGAGTTAATACTAATATATAGAAACTGCACAGTGTCATTCGCACAAACATTAAACACCATCATGGTGACACATGAAATTTTAAAAATGCAATAAACATTAGTTTAACAACATTAAATGTAACATAAAACCCTAATATACATAACTGATAAAAAAAAAACTAAGAAAACTATGAAGAAACATAGTTTTTTCAACAAAAACACATCAAATGTTAAGTGTCACGCAGAGAATTGTGGGAATGTCAATTTACGTTTTTTCACTGTAAATTAAACGAGTTGTTCTTTTTCACTTTCAAAAACTGTAAATTTAAATGTATTTTACAGTAAAATTACATTAAATGTACCATTAGATCTATCACAGTTTTTACCGTATATAGTACGGAAATACTATTATTTAACCTTAAAACTCACTTTAACACCCACATGCTTAATGATCTTCAAGGAAAACATGTTAAATGACTGCTGATTTCTGCAGTTATACCTTCTTTTCTGTGTTTTCTAATTTAACAGAAAAAATCTGTAAAATATTATGAATATTTTATGTAAAATTACACATAACCCTGTAAAAATACAGACAATTTCCTTTAAAAAAACGTAAAATTGATGTAAAACTAAAATACAAGCAATTACCTGTAAATTTAATAGTGGACCTTTAAATTACAGCAAATATCTGTAAAATAACAGGAATTCGCTGTATAATGACAAAACGGCAAATTTCTGTAAAAAAAAACAGGTCGTTACCTGTAAATTTACGGGGTTTTTTTACAGTGTAGTTACTGGACATATTTACATCACATTTAGAAAGAATGATAATTTCTACAAATATGCCACCAAAAATACAACCTGATAGCACCTTTAGCACTCTCTCCCAGTAGGCTACAGTTATATTTTCAGTAAAAAAAAAGAAAGCTCCCAAAAAGGGAGCACGCATAATCCCTTTTAAAAAATGATTAAAGCATAATCACGCTTTATTTTATGATAGTCCGGTATAAAGAGACTAGACGTAGGGTCCTGACAGATAAAATAAAACCATGATTGTGATATCCATTATGATTTGACTGATTTCTTCAAGCGTTCATATTTACTATGGTAATGGTTAGCGTGCATAGTCTTTTGCATCGCGTATAAATATTTCTACCTTATACGGTGATCAGAATCCACATCGGATCACAAACAGAAGGCATTCAAACATGAAATGAGTTTCGAGGTAAATTATTTTAAAAGTCTTTAATGCTGATGTTAGCTGGTATAGCTATAGAATCATCTGGTGCTGCCGTCTCCTGACTCAGGTAAACTCAGCCTCTGTTCGTAACCACTCCTCTAGCCCGAGCTCCCTGGCCGTGGTCCCAGAGGAAGGATCAGGTGGATAACCTGATGTGGCATGAAAGTAACTCAATCTGTCAGAGATGGGACACTGTGAGAGATGGGACACTGTCTTACTCCACAATGATGAGCTTCAGAAGTGTCAGACAATGCTGCTTCGACATGCAAGGTGTGGCTGGACTTAGTCCGCAGAGGAAACATTCCTGCTCTTACTTCATGTTCCTGGATCTGTGAACACTCTCCAATACAAAATCGACAATAATGTGAGGAAGAAAAGCTTTTAACAAACCCACCGATGGAGTGAGCTGCAAGATTATCTGCTACTACAGCAAATACAGTGCCCTTTACCACTTTGCCCAGATTTGGCACAAAAATACCATTATCTTCCAAGCATTTTAAATCTTTTAGCAGTGGCCCCAACACTTCTGGGTATCCTTATTGTGTGACATCATCTGCCTTACAAAGTACGGCTAGAGAAATGGAACTTAGATTAGATCGCATGGTAGCAGGCATGTCTGCCAACACAATACACACTCGTGACTTTATGCTTCTTGCGGAACGTCCCCAAAGGGTTGCATGCTTTAAAGTCGTCTATGCAAAGAATGAGTGGAAGTTTAAGTTCATCTCCAGATAAAAAGCTGTTTTTTTCTGTGTAAAGATCCATCATGCAATGATTTGCATTCAGTAGAAACATGACATGGCCTTCTATTCTGTAATATTGTGTCCTGAATGTGTCTACTGCTAGAGACAATAATGGGAGAATTGGAACATACTGGAAGGAACTTTTTCTTGCTACTATCAAGTATGTACTCAACTGGCTCAGTCAGTGAGAGGTGTTCCTTTGTAAATTGTTCTCTCCTATAGTTTGTGCCTAAAGGCCCATCCACCCCTAAAGCAGCACAGAATGTGTTTAGCTGGCAAAGGGCTTCCACCAGTTCTGAAATCACAGAATCTACCAAAGTAAAGCCATGCCTTCTCAAAGTGCCCAGTATAATGTTTTTAATAACTGGGCCTGATGCAGTGATGTAAGGAAATTAAGTTCCTCTAGTAGTTCCTCTACTCCAGCTCACCATCGGTGTCGCCAAACTGCTCTATCTCCAAAACGTTCGTACACATGTGTCAGAGAGTGCGTGCAGGTGCGCAAATTTTCCGGTCAAGGTTGTTTTTATAAATCAAAACAAGGAAGTGGCGGAAATGGCGGAAGTGGCGTTCGCCTCTTTCAGGGCCTGTTTTGTGCGTATACGCAACGGTTAGGCCCCAGGGCCGTGAGAGAATGGCGTGAGGCCGGTGGAGTGATTGATGATGAGCGACACCTGCGTGACGCACCGGTCTCGTATCTCTCACAGAGGAGCGGAAACATATAAGGAGGAGCGATGACTGAAGATCGAGGCCGGTCGCTCATCAACAATCAAGTCACCGGCCTCGCGCCGTTTTCTCACAGCCTTGGGCATCGACCTGCTCGCCTCAATGTTAATTTGGTTCATAATCATTCGAATATGAATTAAAAAAACTCCAAACAATAATTAACAGATCTCAACAAGTGTACAATATTGTATGCATTTATTATTTCTAGTATTGAATTTTTTCTTGTCCAAGCAGCATTTTGCACTCAGATAAGATATTACAAAGGGCATTTGCCCTCAGACGACCACAATAATAAGATTATTTCCAATATATTATAAAAAAATATGTTACCGAGTGATTTTTGAAAATGAAAACATGTAGCATTAAGCTGAATTAATGCCTAAAAACTGAATTAATACTGTGCAATAATGAGATTAGTTTGTATACAAATGTATGTTTTATCTTTACAGTCAGCAAATGAAGGGAGTAGTTCACAGTTATTTAGAGGAGAGCATTCGTTCGTACATTGATCTGATCGACACTCTGCGGTCTGTTGGCATTCAGAAGGACTTGGCATTACCAACTATTGCAGTGATCGGAGATCAGAGTTCTGGGAAAAGCTCTGTGTTGGAAGCGCTGTCTGGAGTTGCATTACCAAGAGGAAGCGGTGAGGACTGGTTTACTCTCCTTTGCTATTGGAAATTCATATAAACACAATGACCATTTTAGGTAGCCTACACCTCTCCAGTTTTGCTCTATTGCACTTCCAGCCTGAAAGGTAGGATAGATCCATGAATTCAAATTGTTTATGCCAAAGTCTGCCCTACCATCTGCATGTCACAGCAGAAAGTTAGTCTGGCAGCAACAGACCACTTAAATCAAATTTGATCAGATTGGCTAATCAGATATTTGCATCAAAAAGCAGGTGTAAAGGTAAAGTAGATCAGTAATGCATGAGACACATGCAGTTAATTTTTAAGTTTATGAAAGATTTGTAATTCAGATGTATTTGTAAGGATTAGATCGTTGTTTTTACATTTAAAATATTTTTTCTGGAGTCTGGCAGAAGATGTTGTTTTTGGTCTTTTAACTACGGGTGGTCAACTCTGTTATTGATATCTTTTGCTTATCATTATGTGTTTTATTGTCAACAAATTGATCAGAAGCTGATTAGCATAACTAGTATTCTTACTACATGGAATTTTAAAGGATTTTATTCATTTTTAAAGCTGTTTAGTAAAAATGCATATTATCTTGTCAAGTTTTCAGTTAAACATGTTGATATTTTTACTCCAAAACAAAAAGTCTCTATCTTATTAGGCTTAAAATTGAATTAATGGAAGAAGAAACAAAAGTTAGACATGTTTTTTAATTGTGTTACATATGTTAACTGTATTTGTTTGACCCAATTTGTCTATAACAGAGTTGACAGCTTTTTCTGTTACATTGATTTTCAGAATTAATATTTTAAATCTTACAAGTTTAAGATCAGCAAATATTGAAAATATTAAAGGAATAAAATTTAACCATATATTTATTCCTATTTTTGTTTTCTTTGTCTATTGAAATGTACCCGCAATTCTCGAACGGGTCAGATGTTCAAATTGAATTCTGAAGGCCTGTTCACACCAAGAACCATAAAGATAACTATAACGCGATAACTACTCGGTTACTATCGTAACCTCAGTTCCCTGAGATAGGGAACGAGTATTGCGTAGCTATACGCAGTGGGGAAACTCCCTTTCCTCGATTTACTGAAGCTTATATGTAAAACGCATTTGCAGCTGCACAGCCAGCCCCCTGAGCGTCTGACCCGCTCATAGGCTGTGCTGCAGCAACTGCACATCCAATGGCGCGGGCGAATCTGACGCACAACCAATAAGCTAGCCCAACGTCAGAGCCCGTCGAGGGGGCGTGCCCCGCCTATATAGACCCCCGAATTCGCCATTATAACAGGTTATATGACTGAAGCGACAACTTCACCAGTTACCATAGTGCGGCCGGCTACGCAATACTCGTTCCCTATCTCAGGGAACTGAGGTTACGATAGTAACCGAGTAGTTCCCTTTCGAACGGTCACTTCGTATTGCGTAGCTATACGCAGTGGGGACACCATGCAAAACGCCGCACCCTGAGTAACTGGTTGTCCTGCCACTCAGGACCCCTGAGCTAACAGAACCAGCCAGAACCCAATAACATATGCATATACATGTATATATAACAGACCAGACACAGTCGGGTCTGAATAATATACATAATAAGTCAGTCACCACTAACAGAATATACTAACAAAACCAGACCCCGTCGGGATTATTAGTATAACTTTATTACCGGCCGAAGCGGGTTATATAATATGTATGTGATTATGCACAGTAATTTTCGTAGACAAGACCAGCCACTGTCAGGTCTCAATCATACCGAAAGCACCTTCGCCTGCAGGAAAGGTACCTCCATATTATAGAACTTCATAAATGTGGAAGGCGAGGACCAGCCGGCCGCATCACAAATATCTTGAATGGGAAAACCAGAAGACCAAGCCCACGACGAGGCCATACCTCTGGTCGAATGGGCCTTGACACCTATGGGGCAAACCTGACCCACTGCGGTGTAAGCCAAAGAGATGGCATCCACTATCCATCTAGACAGTCTTTGCTTAGTGACTGGATCACCCTTAGATCGGCCCCCAAAGCAGACAAACAGCTGTTCTGATTGTCTAAAAGACGCAGAACGCTCCAAATAGATTCTCAACGCCCTGACAGGGCAGAGAAGATTAACCTCCCCATCCTCAGCAGAAGGGGGAAGGGCTAATAGCGTAATAACTTGTGCTCTAAACGGCGTTGAGAGCACCTTGGGCACATAACCATGCCTGGGTTTGAGAATGACTCTGGAGTCATCCAATCCAAACTCCAAACATGCAGGACTCACTGAGAGGGCCTGCAGATCTCCCACTCGCTTGATAGATGCCAATGCCAACAGGAGAGCAGTCTTTAGCGAAAGTGGTTTTAGATCAACCGACTGGAGCGGCTCAAAAGGTGGTCCCCTCAGGGCCCTAAGGACCGTGGAGAGGTCCCAAGGCGGCACCGAAGGGGGCCTGGAGGGGTTAATCCTCCTAGCACCCTTCAGAAACTTTACCACCAGGCCATTCCTTCCCAGTGATTGGCCAGCCACCAGAGCATGGTGCGCTGCGATGGCTGCCACATACACTTTGAGCGTGGACGGGGTGCGGCCCGCGTCCAGTAGCTCCTGCAGGAAGGCGAACGCCACTGAAACCTCACATGACTCTGGGTCAATACGATTTCTCGAGCACCAGCTGGAAAAACCCGACCACTTTAAAGCATAAAGGCGCCGAGTAGACGGGGCCCTTGCTTCAGAGATAGTGCTTAAGACCCTGTCAGGCAGGTCCCCGGATACCCGTTTAGGGGCCACACATGGAGGGCCCATAAATCGGGTCGGGGATGCCACATCGTTCCGTTGGCCTGTGTGAGATCCTTCCTCATCGGAACAGGCCAGGGGGTCGTGTCCGACAACTGAACCAGTTCCGGAAACCATGGTCTGGATTTCCAGAGAGGAGCCACCAGAAGGACTGGGCATCCGCTCTCCCTGACCCGCTCGATAACCTGTGGGATCATCGAGACGGGGGGAAACACGTAAAGGGGGCGGCTGGGCCAGAGATGAGCCAGCGCATCCCTGTTTTTCGAGAAGAACATCCTGCAGTGGGTGTTGGCTCTCGAGGCGAAAAGGTCTACTTCGGCCTCGCCGAACCTCTCCCATATTAGTCTGACCGTCTGAGGGTTCAGGGACCACTCGCCTAGGGGAGTGTTGCCCCTTGAGAGCATATCCGCGCCCACATTCTGGACGCCCGGGACATGTGCTGCTCTCAGAGAGCTCAGATTGGCTTGTGCCCACATGAGGAGGTCCCTCGCCATCACATACAGGTTGCCTGACCTGATGCCACCCTGGCAATTTATGTAGGCCACCACAGACATGTTGTCTGTATGGATCAAGACGTGGTGACCCCTGAGGTTTGACAGAAAAGCTTTTAGGGCCAAACCAACCGCTTTCATTTCCAGACAGTTGATATGTAAGCTCTGCTCCGTGCTCGACCAGAGGCCGGAGGCAGGCTTGCCCTCGTGCAGCGCTCCCCAACCCATGTTGGATGCGTCTGTAAAAACCACTTTCCTCCTGGAAACTATCCCCATGGTCACCCCCTTGCAGTACCAGTCCTGAGCCCGCCAGGGAACCAGTGTTCTCAAACACCCTTGATTCACCATAATGCGCAGGCTGCCTGACTGCCATGCATGGGTTGGCACACGGCGTTTCAGCCAGTGCTGCAGCGGGCGCATGTGCAGTAATCCCATGTGGAGTACTGATGATGTAGCTGCCATTAGACCAAGCAGTCTCTGAAACCTCTTCAGAGGTGCGCGCTCGCGCGCCCTGAATGCGGCTACCAGTGTCTGCACCGAGAGCGCGCGCTCTTGAGTGAGCCGCGCTTTCATTGTCACCGAGTCCAAAACCGTGCCCAGAAAGACCACAGTCTGGCTGGGATTCAGTTCGCTTTTGGCAACATTGATTGTGAGACCCAAGCATTTTAGATGGCTGAGAATCAAATCCCTGTGCACTATTAGTTCGTCTCTCGACTGCGCTAGCACCAGCCAGTCGTCGAGATAATTCAGCACACGCACTCCCTGGCTTTTCAGCGGGGAGAGCGCCGCATCCAAACATTTCGTGAATGTACGGGGTGCCAGAGCCAGACCGAACGGCAGAACGGTGTATTGATATGCCCTCCCCTCAAAGGCGAATCTCAAAAATGGCCTGTGACGAGGGTCGATCTGAATATGAAAGTATGCATCTTTCAGATCCATTGAAACAAACCAGTCCCCCGGGCGAACCTGTGCGAGAATCTGTTTGAGTGTTAACATTTTGAAAGGCCGTCTCATGAGAGCCCTGTTCAAACGCCTCAGATCTAGAATGGGTCTGAGCCCGCCGTCTTTCTTTGGAATTAGGAAATAGCGGCTGTAAAACCCCGAATACATTAGCGCGAGAGGGACTGACTCTATCGCTCCTTTTGCTAATAATTTTTGAACTTCGGTGCGAAGCACGTGATTCACGCCGCTTCTCACCGATGTCTCGATAACCGCCTGGAATTTCGGGGGTCTGCGAGCGAAGTAGGAGCGAGTAGCCTCGCTTTATAGTGTTTATGACCCAACTCGACACACCAGGGATGGCTTGCCAGGCCATCACTCGTGTGGCTAGGGCGTGACACACTGAATGGGGGGGACCGCCTAACATAGGAGGACCTGATACCCTTATAATGTGTTTTGTGCACATACTGAGTGTTTGACTGACTATATAGGCTTTTGCCTGGGGGGAAGTCAGTGTTACAACAGGGCGGGGGCCGCCTAGTGGAGGGGGACCGTGAACCCGTGTGTTGTGATTGTGAAACATGCTCTTTTTGTGCTTTATTTGGGCCGCCGTGAAAACGGCGTTTGTTTGCAGAGACGCGCTCACTGCTGCGGGCCTGTTTACAATAATAAAATCCCCAGCCGCCTGAACTGAACAGGGAGCTGTGGGAAGTTTTGCTGGTTTCTTCGAGGGTGGTCCGGCTAGCGCGAGACACGAGCCCTCTCTCTTTCTCCTCCGTGCTAGGACGACTTCGGAGGCGCTGGT